GCATCTTGCTGAGTATTTCAAAACTCAAATGTCATCAAGGAATAGACACAGAACTGTTCCTCAGGGTGTATCAGACACGGGGGCATGGGGTTTCTTTTGCTTCAGGTTGAGTTTGCCTCCTTTCATCTTTGACTCTGCTGCTTTTCCCCTGGGAAGGGCGGGGATTGGGGAGGATTTGGGGTCCTCGTTGTCTCTTCATGTCCCCTCTGCTTCAGTGTGTGTCTGGTGACCCTCCTGGGGGCAGGGATGAGCATCAGCCTGCGTGAATGATCTACGAGACCTGAGGTGACACGAGGGGTGAGGCAGCAGCCAACTTGCAGAACAAGTGGCCTTTTAGGACCTGCCAGCTCGGGAGAGAAGGGGGCTTTGAGCGGGTAGAGAGCGCCATTTACAGCACATCTGCACTCCCACAGAGGGGCCCGAGTGTTCCTCCTCCCAGCCTCCCCCTCTGTCTTTGCTGCCTTTTAAAGGAAGGGTTTTATTCCAGCAAAAGGGAAGGGATTGATGCCTTTTTCTTCACTTTCTCTTCAGGTATCTGTGCTGTTGAGGCAGCTGCAGTAGAGGTCGAGCATGCAGACACACAGCCCAGCTGGAGGGGCTTGTGCTGGCCCTGGTGGGGGACTGAGCCCAGCGACCCCCCCAGCTCTGTCCTTGTTCTGTCTGGGGGTCTGGAGTTTCCTGGGGGACACAGGGACTCCTTGACCCAGGAGTGGCTCCTGCCCTGGTGGGCATGGTGTGTCCCAAAGTGTTCCAGAGCCAGTGCAACCCCTAGAAACAAGGTAAGAAGAGCTCACATATATATATATATTCTCAAATAACTTTTCTGGTTTTTATTAAACTCACACCAACTGGAGGGTCTCATTACCCCAGATGAGGCAGAAAAAGCCCCAGCCTGTGATGGATTTTGAGCCGCCTCATAGGGTGGCTCACTGAGGCTCAGTTCACTGGAGGTGCAGTCTCAGCTGTGGTACATGTGAGGATTGAGCCCCAGACCCCACAGTGTGGGACAGAAATTTGGGAATAGAGTGAGCTGCAGAGTCAGGGAAGCACTGGGCTCACAGGGCTGGGGCAGCTGCAGACAGGAGAGCCCCTGGGCCACAGCAGCTCCTCAGGGTGGCTTAGGGAAGGGCTGTCCCCTCATCCCTTCGGAAAGCTGTTCCTTCGCAAAAAAGGACAGCCTGCTGATCCATCCTTCAATTGGGATTAGTTAAAAAACCCCAGGGAAATCCACCCTGATACATCAATTTACACTGCAAACTCTTCCCTGAAGCATCTGCATTTGGAGGCGAGATCCCAAATCCGTCGGGGCTCAGGGTGAGGCCACGGCACAGGACTTTGCACTCGTGGCCACGGAGAACCTCATCTCCTCCCAAGATCCTCACGGAGTACTGAGTATTAAGAGGGCTTTTTCCAGCGAGAAGGGGATGGTGAAGAGTGACAGCCTCTGAATTGCAATTTGAAACGTTTACAGCCCAGTCAATCCTAATTCATTATTAGCTGTAATTGTTTCAAAGAAAGTGTCCACTGTTATGTAAAATGCAGTCCCAGATGCTGCTAATGGTCCAGGCTCTCTGATTGCTGTAATTTGCAAAGCTTTCGCCTTTTTTTTTATCCCCTCCCTCTGTAGTTATGATGTGCCTTTTATGAGCCAGCGAGGAAGAAAGAGAAAAGCGGCCATTAGAGGAAAATAATAATGTTGTACCTGAAAGGCCATTAGTGAGTCTCTATAGAAGTATGCATCTGGTCTGTGTCCGATGCTCCCTCACACCGGACACTGCCTGGGGACTCTGGGATGGGGTTGGGGACAGGTTGGGACAGCTCTGCTTGCAGGGACCGAGGCTGCAACCCGAGCGTGCAGCCCAAGGTGGTGCTGCCCTCCCCGTCAGGATCTGTCAATACCAGCATGCCTCAAAATTAATTTTCACGATGAATTTTCATGATCAGAGATGGATGTGTGCATGGGAAATCAGCTGGGGTGGAGCAAATTTTGGCTGGCAAATTTGTTGTGGGGGGTGGTGGTTTCTGGTGAGGGGGGTTTTAATCTGTTTTTGACATGAAGGAAACACCCAATTCCCATTGGCAATCTCTGATTCTCCTTTGTGCAAAGGCAGAGCCACAGGGATGTCTCTCACCAGGACACCCAAGCTGTGAGCTGGGGGGTATTTCAAAGCTCTCATGACTTGCTGTCTTTTGCCTGCACCTCTGCTTTCAGCTCAGGTGTTTGTTTTAGCCTGTCTATGTCGATCCTGTCACCAGGAGCTTCTTAAGTCCATAATATCAACCTAATTTAAGGAAGGCTTTACTTGATGAGACAGGTTTCAGCCCCTGCTGTGTGCAGAGGAAAGAAATGAAGGTTGATTTGGTGTTTCCATCACACCCTAGCCGAGGCTGAGCTCCCATGGGATGAGGCATGATCCTTGGGCTGAGTTTGTCAGTGCAGTTTGCCTGGATGAACAGCACTAGGTCTGCAACTGGGATCAGACAAAGAGGCAGTTTTAGCTCTTTTGGGGGCTATTTTTAGGCAAAAAAACCAACCAACCAAACAAACAAAAAAAACCCCAAAAAAAAACCCCAAAAAAACCACCCAACCAACCAACCAAAAAAAACCCCCACCAAATACCCACAAGAAATGAATAGAATAGAATAGAATAGAATAGAATAGAATAGAATAGAATAGAATAGAATATCTCAGTTGAAATGGACTTGCAATAATCATCTAGTCCAACTGCCTGAATAACACCCAAATTTACTGTGAGCAAGCCTAGAGGATGTGAAAGCTGAGTTTAAGTCCAGCGTCCACCCCGTGTCTAGCAGATGCTGTGTCCGTAAATTATCTGGGAGAGGAATACTCCATGAATGAATTATGCTGGGATTTCCCTCGTTCCGAGGCCAGGCTGGGGGAGCAGCAAAGGGCAGGAGGAGCGAGCCGGGGCGGTGGGGAGGGCGGCTGGTGGGAGGGCAGCGCTGCCCTTTCACCGCTGCTCTCCCACTGCTCCTCCAGGACCCTCTGCGACCCAGTCGCGACACTTCCCACCAGCCAGCGCTCCCGGCCCCCTGCCCAGCACCCGCTGCCCCAGACAGGCTTTGTCTGGCAAGATTGAGAGGCTGCGGCCGCCGGCCCTTCCCCTCCGAGGAGGGTGGTCCTGGGGTCACTGCCGGGGGCACGCAGGGCAGGGCGGGGTGGCTTTGTGTGCTCGGGAGCCTCGGGACAGGCCTTTGACAGGGAGAAAGGCACGGAGCGCCCATTCCAGCCCATTCCAGCCCATTCCAGCCCATTCCAGCGCTCCCGGTGCGCGGCCGCCGCCCGCTGCCGGAGGTTCCGCGGCGCTGCCGATCCAGGGGATAACTCCTATTCCCGGGGAGGGGTTTACACGGGTTAGCACGGGGGCCGTGGGGCTGGCTCTGGCAATTAGCAACGCGCACGGGCTTGGAAGTGTCAATTAGGCTTTTGAGTCATTGTTTACTCATTAACACGAGGTCTCTAATTACCCTGACCTGATGCTATGGGGCTGCTGAAGTTGGCTAATCAAACATGTAGAGCCTTCAAAGGGAAATTAGGACTCGGCGTTGAGTGCAAATACCCTTTCCATGGCTAAGCCGGTGTTGTTGGGGGATTTATAAGTTCACACTCTCCATCCCTGCGGAGGGCGAGGAGGAGGCAGCGGACGGCCGGGCTCTCCGGGCGTCTCGCACGCTGCCGGAGCAGCCGGCAGGGCTGGGATCGCTTTGTGGCCTCCGCTGCCCCGGCAGAGCGGGGCCGGCAGCCCCGGCTCCTGCGGGCAGCGCTAATGCAGGGCAGGGCACGGCTGGACTCGCCAGCCCCCGCGGGAGCGGGACGGATGCGGCCACAGCAGACAGGCAGCAGCGACATTCCCTCTGCTGCACCAGGAGATGCGGTTCGTGTGGCTGGAGAGCTCAGCTTTGCACCCAAATGCTGATTTTTGGGGTGAGGTAAAACATTCTGAACTCCCCAAAATCAGAGCTAGGAAATGGATACCACGATGGTGAGCACAATGGTCACACAGGAATCGAAGCTGCCTTTCTTCTTGGATCCCCCAGCCCGGCCCCCCCATCTCAATTAACTCTCTTTATTATTTCATCATGGCAATAGTTTGTGCCTTTAACGAATGGGAGGAACACTTGCAAATGCCTTTTTTTGTCTGAAAGCAAAGCTGCTTGGTGTTACTGAACTTCAAGGGATCATTCCCTGTTTCCGCTCCTCTCCCTTTCTCTGCTGAGGCAGAATGTAGCGTAACTTAAAAGTCAGTGATTCAGACTGCAATTATAACCTAAAAGCACAAATAAAAGATAAGCTGGCATCCTACTGTTCCCCATTTGCATCTGTGTCGCATGGGATGAAGGGAAAAATAAAATCTGCTTTTATAAAGTGTTGAGCCAGAGAATCTCGTCCAGCAGAAAGAAGAAAATAAACAGATCCCCCGAGGCACCGGCTGTTTGAGTTGCAAATGACAACTGGGGGGAAGATGCACCAGAGAGGCAGGAGGGGTTTGCACACAGGTTGCTCACCCTGGCCACAGATGGAGCCAAACCACAAACCAGACGCTGGTCAAAAGCCACCTTTTGGGATTTTTTTGCATATCCCGTAAGCACCACGCACCTTAATTGGGTGTTTCCCATTGGCCCCCCAATAATTGCTGTAATTTCCAGTAGTGAGGAAGGGAGGTGGTGGCTGTCCAGGTTTGCCCATCCCATCAGTCACCCCACAGGACCAGCAGCTCAAACCTCGGTCTGTGTTTTTGGGAGCAATGGTTCGTTTTAGCATCAGCAGATTTCCAGTGCTCCTGTCTTGGTCAATTGAAAAATCACCTCCCAGAGTGTTTCAGATTTCTCTGTTTGCAGAGATGGCTGGGAACTCACCAGGGCCCTGTAAACACTTCTTGCTGAAAATAAACAGGTTTTTGAGACAATAGGCACGGTTGTGGCTTTTTTCCCCTCAGAATGTGATGGGTTTCTAACTGAAAAAAAAATCCAGAGAGAAGGCAGAAGGAGGAGTGGTTTGGCTGAGACACTGAAGAAATCCAAAGGTATCGTATCTGGGGGGGGCTGTGCTTTGTGTCTTGGGCTGGAGGGAACTTGAAGCTCTGCCACCAAGTCTCAGCTGCAAGAAATTGTCTTCCAGCCTGGGAGCAGACTGTTTCCCAGCCAGGCACTGGGCTGGACAAGAGGAACCACATCAGTACAAAAAATACTCTGCTTTGGTCTTCTAACAAGGCATCGTCCTTCACCTCCTGCTTTCCCAAAGACCTGCCCTGATACATCCTAAAGGCAGCTTGATTTTTTCTTGTCCCTATCCAAGACCCTTCAACACTTCATGGCAGACCCTGGCTGTGGAACGGGCAGCCCGTGGAGCCTTTGCCTAAATTCGCTCCGTGCTTTGGTTGCTGTGGCCGCGCTCCAGCCCCGCGCTGGGTCCGGCCGGCCCCGGGAAGCGGAGCAGCTGTGCCGGGGATGCTCGGATCAAAGTGCCTTTCCCGGTGCTGTGATTTGCATACAGATGCTTAGGAAATCCTGTCAGTCCCGGCCTGAGGGGGAAGGGGACCTTGGGAGGGGGAAGAGAGGTGAGGCTAAGCAATGTGTGCCCCCAAATCTCCGTCTTTTTAGGGCAGACGGGCCCATCAGCCAGGCTGGCCCAGCCTCCAGCCCAGCAAGCCTGGGGTGCGGGATGTTCCCCCAGTGCAGCACCATCCTGCCCTGTCTGTTCATCCTTTCTCCCTTTCCTGACACTTCTCTTGTTCCTCCTCTTCCCTTCTCCATCAGCCTGTTCTCCTCTATCCTCCTGCTGTTGTTTTATGCTGAAAATCCTGGGTAATGCCTCAAAGAGGTGTTTAGATCCTGCTCACTGGCTGTCTGACTGCTCTGCTGTCTCACCCAGAGCAACCCCCACCTGACTGTGCAAATTGTGTCAAACCCTGTCCCACCTCCCTTGCTCTTTGAGTCCCATCCTCTGTCAAAGGTCACCACCAGTAGATTTTGCAAGTTCAGGAGAGTTGAACAAACCCTCCATCAACAAGCAGGGATCAACTGCAGCCTCTGATCCCTTCACCTCTACTCAGCAGAGAGACTCCAACTGGAGACTGCCATGGTCCATCAACTCACTTTACTTTAAAGAAAAGTTATCCATCAAATCTGTTTGAATAGTAAATAAATGCAGGGAAGCTGTAAGTGGCCGTGAAGGGTCCTTGGGCAGAAGGGGAGGATGAATTTGTCAAACCCACTGTTTGTACAGCTGAATCTTTGAGTGTTTTGCAGCATCTAGAAGGCTGAGGCTGACTATGAATGAAACCCTGAATTCATTCCCTGCTTTTTGTGTTCTCTCCCCCAGATGCTGATGGCTCCACGTAGCGTTTGCTGCTGGACTCCAAATCCCACCTGACATGACACTGATGATGGAGGGATGGGTGGCAGAGGGGCACACAGCATTGTGCAGCAGCACACATTGGCTTCCCAAGCTTTCCAAAGGTCTCAGAGAGGTAAAAAAAATGGAGAATACAAGCATCACATCTCAGTGAGGAGCTCAGAACATCCCTCTCCTCCCCACATGCAATTAAAGAGAACAAAACCCCAACGCCGTGGAGGTGCTGGAAACGAGGCCACTCCCTCGCTGTCCTTGTCACTCCCATTAACAAATACTGTCCATGTCACCCCAAACGCATGACCTCGGCAAACAGCAAATTGAGTCTGTTTGTCACGTGGATCCTTGAGAGGTGCTTGCCTGGTGAATGGCCTTGGCATACATTAAGTGAATAAACCGCCCCATTGTTCCGCTGCTTCAGCCGCTCTGCTCAGTTGACCCATTCAATAACTGTTTGTTTGCACAGATTTCCCCATACAAGTGCAACAAGCTGAACCCTGGATCTGAGCAGATGTGTTTGGAGTAGCTGTCTCTCTCTGCTTCCTTCCCATCAAGGTGTATTGTTGCGTCTTTTGAGAGCTCAAACTCTCCCGAGCGTGACTCATTCAGGCAAAATTTCTGTGCTGTTCTCTGGCACCCTCAAGGATTTCCAGGCATGATTCACCTCTTCTGTGGCCATATTTTGAGGTTCAAACTAACCCAAAACTTCCTAAGAGTTTGCTTTGTCTTTTATCCCAGCGTATCTGTATGTGAGATAACAGGGAATGCAATGGGGACTGGAAAAGATGTGCTACTGCTGTTTAGGTTCAGGATGTAATCAGATGTGTCAGCATCTTCTCTGCAAGGCTGTCTGGCTCTGCAGTAGGTGCCCTGAATTCCTCTGGGAATGTTTCCTCCACAGGCATCCTTTGCCTTGGCCTCACAGCACTGTGAGGTCATCCCAGCCCTTCCCAGCAGCCTGGAGCTCTGCCTGGCCTTGGAGGTGGGGAAGGCCCAACCTGTGCTTCTGCAGTGCTGGGAGTGCTGTGGGTTGAACTTCCCATTGCCAAAAATGATGTTAAACCATTTGGTTAAACCCTTGTGCTGCGACTAATGCTTGCAAGCACCTTTGTTTCAGGAAGCCCATTTTTCAGACATGGGATTAAGAGGAATTTCACAACTATAGAACTTCTTTGTCTGAAAGCCATGGTTTGACCCTAGATTGTCTGGCATACAGAACCCACTGCTCACAGCTCATGTCTTCTACCCAGAAGCTCTGGGTAAATGCCATGAGTTCAGGCTGATCAAGCACAATCTTGCCTTGTTGCAGGGACCCAATAGCTGCAAGGTTCATCGAAAAAACAGTTTTCAGCAGGAAAAGTGAAGTGGCGTACCCTTGTGTTTTAAAAACGCGGGTGTCTTGGTTTGCAGAAAGGGTACATTCTTTAAAACAAAGAAAAGCTCTGGAGTGTGGGGTGCTGCTGCCTGAAATCAAAGTCAGCTCGAGGTTAGCTAAAAATACAGTAGGCACGTTCTGTGGGACTGTGGGTGCCAAGACTCTGTGAGCTATTAAAAGTTCTGGAGATTTTAAATCCTTTTTTTTCCATGGATGCATCACATGAATCACAAATACCCTCAAACGAGCCATTTGCGTGTCTCCCTCCAGACGGAGCTGACAGGGGGATAAACCAAACGCATGCAAATATTATCTCAGGGCAGGCTGAGATTGGATGGGGTGAAAGAGAAAAGTTAAACATGGAAGCATATTTATTTCTGCATAATTTTGCCAGCTTTCTGCTGGCAGTGAGAGACTAAACTTCGGAGGAGCCTGACCCCGGGATTATCCGAGGGAAGACATGTGCTCGCTGTTTCGGAGTCACCATCTGCGAGGGAGATGTTGGGGAGCGAAGACGCGTGGCAGGGACACGGCTGCATCTGCCCAGGCGGGAGAGGAACCGCCGGGACCCTCAATTCCTGAGCATCCTCCCAGCCCTGCCCCGTGCCTTTATCACCGCAACGAGAGTTTCTTCTTGACAGGAGGGCTCTTCGGCTTTTCTATTCCTTCCCCACCAACCCTCCAGCCCAGCTCCGGGGGACTTTCCCCCCTCCCTCAATCAGCCCCGGCGGGTCCATTTGCTTTTGTCTCCCATTAATTGCTTGCTACTTTTCATTGCCAGCTCCTCCCCCTTTTAAAGATAAATTTTAAAGCCCGAGCGGGGTGGAGAATGGCTGAGCCCGCTGTTATTTTTGACATTCGCCCCAGTGACAGCTGGACCTTGCAAGGCTGGGGCCGTTCGCACACAAAGCCTATTAGCTATGCCCACTCACTTAATGAGCCCTGAAGTCTGGAAGGAAAATTTCCTCCCCTAAGTGTGGCAGAGCCCTTTGTCATTGTAAACAGGCGCTGCTTGCCGAGCCCTGCCTTGCCTTTCTCCTTCCTGCCACCGTGGCTTTTCTATTTACTCAGGAAACAAAAGCGGAGCCGTGTCAGCGCGCAGGGAAGAAAATGTCCCCAGCGACTGGGGCGCGCACGGGCCGCCTCTGCCACCCACCTACCGCGGCCGGGCTCCCCGGTGGCACCGAGGGACAGCCCCGTGTCACCGGCACCAGGGACAGCCCCGGTG